CTTCATCTGTGGTCCATATAGCCTCAGACAAGTTATTGAACCACCCAAGGACTTTGTTTCCTCATCTTTGAAATAGTGGGGGGTAGGGTGATGAATGGTACCCACTTCATTCAGTTGCTATTTGAAACAGCACAGACTTGGCTGCTTGACTTGGCATGAATCCACCTCCTTTCTATGAGTTTTGGGTGAAGTCACTTCTCTGAGCCTGTTTCCCCATCTGCTCAATGGAAGCAATGCTTTGTATGCCATAGTTTTGTTGTGAGGATTAAAGAAAAAAACATATGGTTGGAGGTTAAGTCAGACCAGGAAATACAGAAAATGCTCAATATTAAATATTATACTCTTACTGTGTACTCTTGAAAGTTCATGAGTTTATAAATGACTTTGAGGGATGCAGCCCATGAATTTTCTAAAATTATTTGCGAATATTTGTGTGTCTATCATGTGAATCTTTTCTGGGACAAGTTTCCATAATACTCATCTGATTCTCAAAAAGTCTACCTTGGCCTCATGCAGTGGCTCACACCTGTAATCCCAGCACTTTGGCAGGATGAGGTGAGAGGATTGCTTGAGCCCAGGAGTTCAAGACTAGCCCAGGCAACATAGTGAGACCCCATCTTTATAAAAAATTTAAGAAATAGCTAGGTATGGTGACACGTGTCTGTAGTCCCAGCTACTCAGGAGGCTGAGGTGGGAGGATTGCTTAAGTCCAGGAAGTTGAAGCTGCAATAAGCCGAGATCATACCACTGCACTCCAGCCTAGATGACAGAGTGAGCCCTATTTCAACAACAAAAAGGCCATCTCCCTGTTTCCCAAAGTTGAGAACCTGGATGCTTAGACATGAAGACCTCTGAACACAAGACCCAAGCTCCAGAATGGGGTTGCAGATCTGCCCTGCCCATACTCTATTTCCTGTGTTTGAACTTGAAACCTTGAGATTAAGTGTCCTCAGCCCACAGCCAGCGCCTCACCCCAGGCCTTTTCTTCATATTACTTGTGTGTAGGTTATGTATTGTGGCCAGCTGCCTTTCTGGCTGAACTATAAAGCTCCTTGAACGTCAGGGCCTAATTGTTTATGTGTCCTCAATAATGGGAGGCTAAGCACAGATCTCTAAACCAGGCAAGGGCTCTGGAAACACTCATGAAATAACGAGATGTCAGCGTTCCTTAGAGCGGTGGGCTGAGGAACCTCCAGGAACCATCACTCTGCAGCCCAAGTTGGGAGAAGAATTGAGGGATGATCTGAAACACGCAGTTCCATATTCTGGTGATACTAGTTTCCTTTCTCCGGGGTGATTACTTGTACAGGTTGGGACAAGTTGGTAAAACTGGAAATAACAACTTTGCTCGCAAATGTATTGGCTAGCCTCTCTGAGGCAATTTTGATGGAAAGAGAAACGGCAAAGCAGGTAATACCTGTTCTGTGTTATAAATAAAACTGCTGTCGGGCTAATAGAAATCTTTTGCTTGTCTTGCTCAAGAGATTCAGGGAAAATTGGTGGTGTTTTTGGACTGAAATCTGGACCGTTGACATAATATTCTGATTGACTTAGAAAAATGACTTTTTGAGAACATAGAAATCCAAGAGCTTTCCTCAATTCTGTTGAAGTACTACGAGTAGATTTAAAAAAGAGTGAGTCCTACCAAGTTTGGTAGATTCAGAATAGGCATCAACTTTTCTGTTCCTACCACCTCTTCTTATCATTTTCCTTCTAAGCCATCCCAGTGACAAGATTTACTTACTATGTGGCTACATGTTTTCCCCAGAACTTACATGCCACACAAGGGAAGGTAAACTGTTTCATCTGGGATTTCAAAGCATCTATCTACCTTTTGTCTTTTCTCTGTGTCAAAGGCTCTTCATCAATCGTCCATATAGCCTCCCTGTTTCACCTCCCTTTGGCAAATTATGAATTTATTTTTCCATCAAAGTTATGTAAACCTTCATTAACATCTGAAGACTAGGAGAAACAAGTCACTTAAAATCTGACCACCCATAATTGCATAATCACCTATCCATTATTACCATTTTTTAAATTTCTTCCTTGTGTTTACACTTTAAAATTATAATGATAGTTTACATAAGTTTATGTCTTGCAATTTTCAGTTAACCATTCACATAAGCATTTTTCTTAAGGAGACAGTCTTGGTAACTGCCATGGTTAGTAGTCATAAGTTTATTGAGTGTAGGTACCATCATTTACTTAGATATTCTCCTACTGATGAATCTTAAGATTGTTTCCTTGGTATGTTATTATACCAAATGCCACAGAGAACATCTTAATGCATAAAGGTTTTCTGCAGCTTGAATCATTCTTCTCGGCTTGGTTCCCAGAAGGAAAATCAGAGCCTTCATCACCAGGTATGGAGGCGTGGATGCTTTCGGTGTGCCTTTCCCCACTTTTCTTCTAAAGGCCTGTATCAGTTTACCTGGCAGCTGCAGAATATGAAGTTTCCAGGGTTCACAGCTGCATTTTTATTTAAATGGTAATGTAAAAATGGACTGCTTGGAATGGTCTTCTCATGTCCTATTTCAACTGCTCTGTGGACAGGTAGGAGGACACAGGTCTACTTCCTGCATCACCAAATGCTCTGGAATCATAACCTCACCTTCTCTCCTCTAAGACAGATTATCCTGCTCATGATCCAGGGCAGAGTTAAGGCATTGTAAAGTGCGAAACCAGAGAAAGCTGAGGAAACCAGCAGGTAGAATTTATAATTTGGGTTGCAGTGAGATTCTTGGGTCAGGCCTTACCCACCACTTTCTCTTGCTTGGCATTGTTGCCATGGAGGGAGGAAGTCAAGCTGCTGCTTTGATCTCAGTCTGCCCGGGAGCACTTTATTTGGTGAGCAGCCAAGACAATCAATATTAACTGTACTGCCAATCATGTTCATAGATTCAGGATTGCATCCCCAGCACCTAGAGGACTGCCTAGAGACAAGAAGAAGTCCCTCTCCCTGTTTCCCAAAGTTGAGAACCTAGATGCTTGGACATGAAGACCTCATGAACACAAGACACAATATCTTTGTGGGCACTCAGTATCTACTTGCTAAGGGCAAGAATGACCGAGTAGCAGAATGGGGGCAAGAAAGGCTTTATTTCATATGAGGCAATGTTGTTTGCTGACCAAACCTAAATTTCATAAAAGGCACGTTCTTCTTCTTTATTGAGAGAACGTTCCTTTTATGTGGGGTTGCAATGTACCTGATGAATCAGCTAATTTCCCCAGGCCTCTGACATCTTGGGGCAGTCATGGATACTGTTTGGGTCCATAAGATGTGCAAGTGCAGCCCCCAAGTTTCTGGGGAAGCAGATTCTTCTTCTTTCCTGTCTTCCCTCATTTCTTTTTATGAGCTTGAGGTAGAGCAACCGTCTTACCACCAAAAGATGACAAACTGAAGGATAAAAGTCCCAGTCGGAGGATGGGGCTGAGCAAAGAAAGGAGGAGTGAGATGCTGAGGCCATCCTGGGGCTGCTGCCTCAGCCCAGGATGCTGTGGTTTTGAGAAAATTAAACTGTCCTTGGATAAGCCTCTGTGATTGGGTTTTCTGCTGTGGATGACTGAATGCCATCCTTTCTGATACAAGGAACTTGAGGCTCAGAAAGTTTCATTTGTCAAAGGTCATGATGATCATATGGACCAGAAATACGACCACATGTAGGTCTCTGTAGTTAAGCCAGCCCTTTGATTTCCCCAAACTCCCCTTGCCACTATGACCAATTTTAGATTGGAAGGCCCCTCAAAAGTTCTTTGAGATTACATGCATTTTCAAATATTTTGGGAAGAGTCTTGATAAATACAAGCTTCTGACCTGCTGGGGAACAAAGGATTCCATACTTTATAGTATAGGTTCTAGTCTAGATGTGAGCTCCCTGGAGGGATATTTACATAGCAGGAGAGAAGATAAAATATTAGAGGTTTTTTTTTTTTTGGATTGCTTGGATTGCTATCAGTTTTGTTAACCCTGTCCTCATATTTCATGGAAAAATTAAACATTCAATCTGAAAAATTGGATTTGGCATTTGATATTTTAAAACTCTGACATGGCCTTCCATATTTTTTTGTTGTTTTATTTTTAGGAAAGTTTAGAAAAGGCTGTGGATACAACTGCTAGTGTGTATTTTCTTGATTTTCTGTCACTGTGTTAAAATATAGCCCCTTTGGCAATATTTCTTAAAGAACTGTCGTTAAATGACATTTGAAAACCATCTACCCTGTTCACGTAGTTTTGTTCCTGGATAAATTGTCCTCTACTTTATGGAAGTGACTTATAAAAGAGACTCAGATAAAAGAGAGAATGAGGGTTAAGCTCATGTGGTGTCTCATTGGCTGAGATAAACCAGTAAAGAAGTATTTCATAAATCAACCAGAGTGTTTTCTTTTGTAAGCCAGAGAGGAAACTGCTCCTGAGAGGTTTGTACCTGGTGCATTTGTCAGCAACAGGTAATTTCCTGAAGGTGGGATGAGCAAAACCATGCTCTCAGCCCATTATTTAAGAGTCATCCTACATTTTAGAAAACAATGTAATGAATGAATAAGACCTACTATTTGATAGCACATAGGGTGACTATAGTCAATAATAATTGTACGTTTTTAAATAGCCTAGAGAGTATAACTGTATGTTTGTAACTCAAATGATAAATACTTGAGGGGTGGAGACCCCATTCTCTACAAAGTGCTTATGTCACATTGCATGCCTGTATCAAAACATCTTGTGTACCCCATAAATATATACACCTACTATGTACCCATACATTAAAAAATATATAATTATAAAAATTAAAAAAAAAAGAAAAGAACATAAGGACAATGCATGTCAGCGCCATGCCCACTGCTTCCCAGTGCTACGCCCCAGCCAATTTCCATGGGGTGTGTTTTTGTGGTTGCTGCACTCATTCCCATTGTTTCCTTTAGATGTGAATACACGTAATAAAATGTCGGGTGACTTGCTCCAGCAGGCATGCCGACTCTGACTCAGCTCTGCCCTTCTCTTCAAGTTCTTCACTGGCCATAAGTCCAAAGACATCTGGATGCCGTAGGATCCTGAATAGCTCTTGTGCCTTTGTCCTGTCCTTCCACTGCATCTCACAAGCCAAGCCAATGACACAGCTGTGTCTGGAGGGGACACCGAGCCTGCTGCCAGCACTTGCTGTCAGCCCAGGGGTGGAGTCAAGACTGAGTATGACAAAGGGACAGATGGAAAGTCCTCCGTGACACTCACTACTGATCACACTGCATCTGGAGCTCACCCTGTCTCTGGGTTCCTGGTTACAGGTACAATAACTGTTCTTCTGGTTAAACCGGTTGCATCAAGTGTTTATAAATGGCAGTCAAAAGTATGGAAGTGTCTAGGAAGGGCTGAAACCCTTGCAGCAACCCAGCCAGCCATCTGTGATGGCATCTGGTCTGGCAGCCTCTTAAGCCATATCCGTCTCTTATAGCTTGAAAAGCAACAACTGCTGGTGGCTTCCAGATTTAGCAAGAAAGCATAGAGGATGTCCAGTGAAATCAGAACTTCAGATAAGCAACAAATAATTTTTATAGCCTTAGCATGTCCCACATATTCCATGGGGCACACTGATACTAAAATATGACTCCTTGTTTATCCGAAATTATATTTAACTGGGCATTCTGTGTTTTATCTGACAACTCAAGTGTAGGCTCCTGGGGAGACTTTTGACGTATCTGTAAGGGTGCATGGGTTCTGTCCATCCTGGGGTCCTGAAAACATATTTTTGTAGGACTTGCTTTAAGTTAAAGATCATTCTCTGGGAGAGCCATTTCCCTAGTTAGTGAAAGAGAACCACAGAATTTCTTGCTGGACATTGGGCCCTTCCCTAGTGGGCAGGGTAAGTCTTCTATTTTTATTGATTGATTCAGTGTCTCATCCTGTTTGCCAGGCTGGAGTACGGTGGTGCAATCACAGCTCACTGCAGCCTTGACCTGTGCTCAAGCGATCCTCCCACCTTGGCCTCCTAAGTAGCTGGGACTACAGGTGCATGCCACCTCACCCAGCTAATTTTATATTTTTAAACATGGTTTCACTATGTTGCCCAGGCTGGTCTCGAACTCAGGACTCAACCTATCCTTCCGCTTCAGCCTCCCAAAGTGCTGGGATTACAGGTGTGAGGCTCAGGGTCTAGCTATTTTCTTATCTCCTCTTCTTTGCACCTTAACCTGTGGTTGGAGCACAACCTATTCTTTTGATTTCTTCTTCCCTTTCTACACAACTCACCCCCACCACAGACTGTGGGGTATGCTGGGCTGTGGCTGCCTGACAGGTGGACTGTGTCCTCTGGGAGTGTCTGTTCTTTCTTATCAGCAGGGATGCTTCTCTCTCTGGTTCTGGAAAGCAATGGGCAAAAAAAGTGTTTCAGGCAGCAGGTGGGGGCTGATTGCCCAGAAGCCTTCAGGCTCTGGTGTCTGGCATCTAGTTCTATTGACCTGCTGGGTTCAGGAGCTGATTGGATGCCCAGAACCTGCCTTTGGGTGCCAGCAAAGAGGGATTGATCCCCTCTCCAGGTCCCACCCTTAATGGAAATGAAGCAAATTCCTTTCCCCCTTAGTTAAGACTGGACTCTTAAGCCGTAGCCTTTATTATTTAGGAAACAGGAAAGTCAAAGCAAACACAATAGTCCCAACGTATAAATGGTTGTATTTGCAGAGGCCACTTTCTGGTCCTAACCTTCCCTGTCATAGAGCAAGTGCAAGGAATCCAGTCTTGCAGCTTTCCCATTCTTTCAACCTCTCTGGACCAGATGAGCAACTGAGATAGACTTGACTGGTGCCGCGTGAGGTTGCGTGTGACTTTCATGTGCTCCCAATAGCTGCTCCCACCTCCTACAGCATATCCCACTGCAGCATCCCACCCTTGGGGACCCTCTGGCTTTCCTCTCTGACCTTGTGGGGCTGTCTCCATGGTCACTCCTATGCCTTCTTCCCTCTCCCGGGAGTCTCCATGAGTCTACTTCCATTTCCCTATGTTCGACTCTCCCTTCAGTGGATACCTGAGTCCTCCCCAGGAGGTCCGGAGCTGCCTGCAGGTCACGTAGCCTTGGAGGCAGCCTCCGCCTTTCCCTGGATGTGTCTGCATCCCACAGCTTCCTGTGACAGCCAGAAAGGGACCTTTCCTCCCTCTGTTTCTCTCCCCAGCCTCACTGTCCTCTGCCCCAGCTACTAGGCACCCACTTGTACTTGCTGAGAAGTCTCTGGCTTTTGGTTCCAGCAAAGATAAAGATCTCGATCTCAGACGTCATTATCTTCAAAGAGCAGCAATGATGTATGGTTTTATTTGGTTGCTAAACCATGTCAGGCCCACTTCCCTGGGGTCATAATAGTACAAAGAAGAGAAAGAGAAACCAGTTTGTCAACAAAGACAAGCTGGGAGATTTTCCAGAGTTCTAATTCTCATTCGATGTCCCTTTATTGAACTTTTACATATGTGACCTAACTTATTCCTTCTACAACTCTTAAAAAAAGATGACAGAAGGGAAATGTTTACCTGTCATTACTCCCCACCAACTCGGTCTTCATCGCGGGGCTACCATCCTTATGTCTTTGTGATGGGCTGGAGTGTATCCCTCTAAAATGTGGATGTTGAAGTCCTAACCTCAGTATCTCAGAACGTGTCTGTACTTGGAGACAGGGCTTTAAACAGGTGCATTAGGGTGGGCAGCGGTGGTCGGAGCACAATCTATCCTTTTACTTTCTTCTTCCCTTTGTATGCAATCCACCCCAACCTCAGACTCTGGGGTGTGCTGGGCTGTGGCTGCCTGACAAGTGGACTGTGTCCTCTGGGAGTGTCTGTTCTCTTTCTGGGAGTGTGATTCTCCTTCACTAACTAGAGAAATGGCTCCCCCAGAGAATGGTCTTTAATTTAAAATGTGTCCTACACAAATACGTTTTCAAGACCCCAGAATGGACAGAACCCCTGCATCCTCACAGGCACCTCAAAAGTCTCTCCAGGAGTCTACAGTTGGATTGGCCCTAATCCAATCTGACTGGTGTCCTCACCTCATGAGAAGAGCACATAAGGACACACAGAGACACCAGAAATGCTGAGGTGGAGCAGGGTGGCCACGTGGGGACGCAGGGGGAAGATGCTGTCCACAAGCCAAGGAGAGCAGCAGCAGGAGACGCCAACGCTGCTGACACCTGGATCTTGGACTCCCACTCAGCCTCCAGAGCTGCGAGGAAATGAATTTCTGCCATTTAAGCCCCCCAGTCTAGGGCACTTTGTTAAAGTGACCCTAGCAAACTAATCCAGTTTAAAACAGTGCTCATCCAGGTTATGTTCTTTCTGGCCTGCTCTGAGGCTCCTGATGGTGGGTTGTGAGGGAAATGGAGAGGGGGGCTGGGGTGACCAAGGGCAGCATTTCACATGGGGCCACCCTTTCTTCTCTCCTGAAACCCTTGTCCTCCTTTCAGAGCCCCCGTCTGTGTCGTCGCCGCCATACCCGAATCACAGAAAGGACTCGTGGGAAGGAGGGAGTGGAGACTCTAGAAGACACCCAAGGGCTGTCCTCTGACCAGAATCCCATGATGTGAGGTCTGACTGCCCAAATCTTGTGAAGACTTACGACTGTTTTAAAAAATTCCTTATAGAAAATGGAAGAAACAAGGAAAATGGAGGAAACGAAGGGAAATCTCTAATCCCATAGTGGTAATATTACCCTCTATGTGTGAAATGCATTGAGGTTACAAAGCAGTTAATACCTGCTTTGTCCTTATCAACCCTGTCTGGTGGATGGACTAGGTATTATTAGTTCCATTTCACAGAAGGGGACAGTGAAGGTGAGCATCTTGCCCAAAGCCGTTCAAAGAGTAAAATTTGGAGACAGAACATAAATTCTGGTTCTGGAGCTGCACGGTGCTCGTGCTCTCCATTTTTACCTGGGGCCTCTTCCTTGATAAAAACACTGAAATTCTTCTTCCATCACCTGGTGGAGGTGGGCTGAGAGCTGAGGTCCCCACAGGTGTGTGGCACTGGGAACACATCCTCTGTCCCCTCTGCTCCTTCTCTTTCCCCTCCTCTCCGTGAAGGACTGTGCTGTGATTTTGCCAGGTAGAAGGCAGCAACACCCACTCTGGCGGCCCACAAGGCCGCAAAGCCAAACAGAAAGTCAAAGCCGGCTGTGTTTCTACCACCTCCAGGGTGCCTCCATTTAAAATTAAAGCTCAGCATGTTGTCTTTGAAAAATTCACAGTTTATTATAAAGGCAGAAGAAAAGCTCTTGCCCTAGCGATTAAGTTTTCAGAAGGATCACCTTGTAGCCAGGCTGTAAAACCGTGGCTGCTGGAAGGCTGGAGTATTTAAAGAATGTGAGCTGAAGTGGTTTTTCTTGAGTCATTTTTTTCATTTGCACGGTGCTAAGACATTTGCCATGAGAGGGGCATTTCAGAGCTTTCAGGCCAACTGCAATAAACTGGTACACAACAGCCTGCCATTGAAGTGCGGAGTTTCCTATCTATGCTTAAGGGTTATTTGCACTCCCTGTCACCATCCCTGCTTCTTATTGCTCTGGAATTTCTGCTCTTCAGCTATGGCAGAAAAAGTAGCTGGGTCGGGTTGGGGTTTGGAAACTGGTCTGACCTTTACTCTGAATTGTTGGCTCCCAGGGTCCCCGCTGCCCAGGAAGCTTCTGCCTGAGACATGTGGAGATAATGACTTCAAATATGGATTTAAAAGCCTCCGGGAGCAGCAGTGAGGTATTATTTGGTCTCTGAAACTGCTTCTTGGTTAAGCTCTAGTTCCAAGCCATCTGGGTCACATTTCCTGTAGGAAAACACAGAGAACCCCTGTCTTCTTCATGGACATGCTCCTCCCAGCACTGTCTTTGCAGATCAGCACTTCTAAGAGTTTTGAGGAAATCTGTGAAGGCTCATGCTATGGCCAAAGTAAATCAAATAGGATAAATGATCACTTTTTGGAGTCCTCTCTTCATTAGTTTGGGATGAGTGACAGTTTACGCTGGGGTGAGTTAGAAGCAAAAGGGGCAGCCTCTAAGTTGGTCCCCATGATCCCCTCCTCCTGATATTTTAACTTGGGTATAATCCCCACCTCCTGAACGTGTGTTGGGGGTTCCCTGTGACTTGCTTCTGACTGATGGAATATGGCAAAGGTGATGACTGTGTGACTGGATTGCATTCCACATTTAAGGCTGTCATCCTGGCAAGTCACTCTGACTCTTGTGCTAGGTTTGAGGAGGGAAGCTGCCACATTGTGGCCTGCCTTTGGAGAGGGCCACGTGGCAAGGAACCGAGGGCAGCCTCCAACTGGCAGGCAGCAAGACATCAGAAGCTCTCAGTCCTACAGCTACAGTGAAAGACATTCTTCCAACAACCCAGGTGAGCTTGGAAGCAGCTGCTTCTCTCGTTGAGCCTCCAGAGGGGAACACAGCCTGGTCGTCACCTTGATTGCAGCCTGCAAGACCTTGCAGCAAAGTATTCAGTCCATACCCAGACTTTTGATTCCCAAAAACTGGGAGACAGTACATATGTGTTGTTCAAACCTGCTAAATTTGTGGTAATTTGTTACATAGCAATTGATAATGAATACAAGGGGCATGCCGAATAAATTAATAAAACCGTGTCACAGGAGTGCTGTGCAGCTACCAAGTAAGGCAAGCTATGTAAGCCTCTTTGAAAGCACCATTTGCGCCTAAGAATAGGCAACTATTTTGACTTCTTAGCCATCCTTTTAAGATGTGGAAGAAATGCTTCAAAATAAAAAATGGGGCAAAGCAGTGGATTTGTCACTTCCTGCATGTGTGCTCTTGTAGAAAAAGCAATCCCAACAAAGGTTTAGCAAGTGCCAAGGCCACAGCTGTGGGAGTGAACTGGCCACAGATGTGCATGGGAGGCTACTGTGGCTGGAGCAGAGTCGGCCAGGAAGACGGGGAAGGAGAGCAGATCAAGGGGGTAAAAGAGGCTTGAGGGGTTAAATGGACCCTTGCAGTCACTATGAAGACTTTGCTTTTTGCTGGGAGACTGTCGAAGGGTCTGAGGAGTGCTTGGGAGAATGATCTAACCCGACAGACTCTAGAACTAGAGGTGCTCTCATCTTTGTCTGTGAGTTGTTTCAGAGAAAGCAGATGCCTGAGTTACAGAGATTTTGATTCGTTTCTGCATCTATCCTGCTACTTAGCACAATGTCTGTTGTATTAGCTGTCCGGTAAGGGTTTGTTAAGTTGAACAGACTGTGCAAACCACCCATTATTGCTGTGAGATTTTTGACATTCTGAAGAACCAAAGCCACAAACATTCTCACATTGTTTAACTAGCACTGGAGCTGTTGATATAACTGCTGAAAGAAAAGGTAAAGCTATGTTGATAGTACATTTCTGGATTTTTAATTCTTCCCAAAAGTTCATGAAAAAGAAAACCAGTAGTCAGATGTTACCCTAGGTGGGTGATGAGCACTCCTTCATCTGCCAGTGATGCTAAGGAAGATGGAATGGAATAAGACATTATTGCTTCTCCTGATGTGTGTTGGGGTCTGTCCCCTCCTGCAGGGACCTCGTGTGGGTTTGCCTATAGTTCTTGCAGCTTAAACTATGGCTGGTCTATTCATCAAGTTAAGTTTTTTCTTTTCTTTTTTTTTTTTTTTTTTGAGATGAAGTCTCACTCTGTTGCCCAGGCTTGAGTGCGCTGGCATGATCTCAGCTCACTGCAACGTTCACCTTCTGGGTTCAAGTGATTCTCATGCCTCAGCCTCCAGAGTAGCTGGGATTACAGGCATGCACCACCACGCCCGCCTAATTTTTATATTTTCAGTAGAGATGGGGTTTCACCATGTTGGCCAGGCTGGTCTTGAACTCCTCACCTCAGATGATCTGCCACCTCGGCCTCCCAAAGTGCTGGGATTACAGGCGTAAGCATCAAGTTAAACTTGAGGCTTCCACTCTGTTGTTATCATGAATGCTTTGCTTCTTCCTCAGAAGAGTGAGGATCCCAGGGGAACTCTGAGAACCAATAACTCTGTTGAATGGTACGAACAGTTGGGTAGCTAGGATGTGTGATGCTAAATTTTATGGGTCACCTTGACCAGATCATGGTATCCAGATATCTGATGGAACAATAGTCTCCATGTTGCTGTGAGAGTATTCATTATATCTGAATAACTTTTAAATCAATAGACTTTGAGTAAATCAGATCACCCTCCATAATGTGAACCTCCCCCAACCAGAAGGCCTCAGAGAAGGAAGAACTTCTGGGCCGGGCGTGGTGGCTCAAGCCTGTAATCCCAGCTACTCAGGAGGCTGAGGCAGGAGAATTGGCTGAACCCAGGAGGCGGAGGTTGCGGTGAGCCGAGATCACGCCATTGCACTCTAGCCTGGGTGAAAAGAGTGAAACTCCGTCTCAAAAAAAAAAAAAAAAAAAGAAGGAAGAACTGCTTCTAGACTGCCCTGGGATGGGGCTCAGGACTGCAATGTCAACTCCTGGTGGATTTCCCAGTCAGCCAGCCTGTGCTGTGGATTTCATACTTGCCAGCTCCCACAGTCATGTGGGACAATTCCTTAGACTTTTCTGTCTCTTTCTCACTCTCTCTGTACACGTGTGTGTGTGTATATATATATATGTACATACATATATATGTGCATATATCTACACATATATACACGTGTGTGTGTGTGTAGATATATATATAGGTACATGTATACATACACATCCTGTTTGTTCTGTTTCTCTGGAGAACCCTGACCAATACAGTGTGAACATTCAAAGAGACTGGAAGTCTGTCTACTTTTCCCCTTCTCTGAAGCCTGGGTCAGCTGGATCTCTTTTACCTTCTCATTTTTGACCTGTGAAGCATGGTTACGTCTTCTACACAAGAAGATGCTGAATGGGCATGGGTTGAGATGTATCCACCCCGCCCCCAGCGCCCTGGTGTTGCCGGCTGAGGAGAGAACACTGGGATAAAAGCATCTCTGGTTCTCATCCCACCCAGCGCCTGGCCCTTGGCAGAACCGGCCCTCTTGCCTGCTGCTCCTCGCCCAGACTCCAGGGTATCAGACCTTTAGTAAGCCAGGATCTCGCTGTTTCCTCTGGCATGAACCTCCCCTAAGACCCCTTCTGGCGTTCTGTCCCATATCTTTTATTAAAGGTGTTTCCGTTCAGAGTAAGTCTGATAAAAGCCAAGGACACCGAGGTGTGGGCTGTGCAGCTGACTCCACAACTGTCCCATAGAGAGTGGTGTGGGGAGAGGGTCTCCAGCCAGTAGGTTTTATGAGCAGATGGGGTGCCCTGACCCTCTTTATCCCCCTTTCAACAAGGAAGCCCTGCTGGCCATATTAGGGGCAGCTGCACACAGTCGCCCCCCTCCTGGAGGCCTCCCCATCCTTGGGCCTCACTGGGTGACAGTGAAGAAACATGAGGGGGTGCATACTGGCAGCTGTGGCAGGAGGCCTGGGATCTTTAGCATCCTCAAGGGCAGGGGTGGTTTCTGGTGGCTCCTCAGCAATCAGCTCAGCACTCTGCACCCAGAAAGGGCTCAGCTCATAGGGACTTGAGACAAGGCAGGACTTCTGTACCCTAGAAAGCCTGGCCCCTCCCTCATAAGGACCCCTACTCCCAGCTCAGTCAGGACCTGCTGGGCTCTGCTTTGGGACATCACTCACTGAGTCTTGGAGCCAGTAGGAACAGTGCTCGCGTGAGAAGGAGCTCTGCAATTTGCTCTTTTTATAACACGTTTCCTAACTGAGGAGACACAGTAAAGCCTACATAGGAACAGGGCCCTGAGTGGGCCCGGGGGCTGTCACCCAGCTCTCCTTCCCCACTGCAAATGGACTACGGGGACCAGCAAGATGTCCGAGGGGAGCAGGGCCTGCCCCTTCCCCAGGCCATTTTCAAACCCTTCAGAGCCGCGTTGTCAGGTGACTGGGAAAGACCCAGAGAGCCAGTGACAGCCTTTTGGATCGTTCTCCCTCTCCTCCTACACCCTCTCGGGGCCCCTTGCCTGTGCTCCTGTGGTCTAGAGGGTCAGGGAGGCTGGGCCCGACACAAAGAGCTTGGCCACAGTCACCCTCAAAATGGGAGCCTGTGGGGCTTGTGTCAGTCACGGAGCCACACTGAAGTTCAAGGTGCTGGTGGGGGGTGGGGGCACTGCTCACAAAAAGTAACCACATTCTTTTTGTAAAAGCACAGGAATGGCATTTCTCTTCATGCATCAATGCATGCTAGAAGATGATGCATCTTCTCAAACAGACTTCGCAGAGAAGCCAATGCTTACAAAGCAAAGACTCAACTCTGATGGTTTTCATTAGTGCATAGCACAGAGCTCACAATAGACGGGAGCCACTGCCCAAACGTCTGAAAAATTAGCGGCCTGGGGAGTCAGCTGCCTTCTGAATTATGATAGGATGTCACATGTGTGCGTGCATGTGTGTCGTGGGGGGTGTGGGTGGGTGGTGGTGGGGGGTTGGGATGGGGGAGAGAAAGAGAGAGGACTACATACTACAGTGGGGAGGAGCGGACAGGGATGGTGGGGGATGGGAGGAGCCATTTGCTCCCATCACTGTGACTCACTCAGAGGCTTCCTCCCTTCTGTTCCTTTCACCCCTAAACCAGCGGGGGAAAGACCTCTAGGGCAAGGGTGCAGATGTTCCAGGAAAGTGATCTGCGGGAGAAACGGGAGCTTCCTTCCTTCCTTCCTCAGTGCTTTCTCAGTCTCAAAGCATAGCTATTTTAAGTGAGCTGTTCAGCACGGCCCTGGGACCCCAGCAGCTGTTTCCTCTGCTTCAAGAACTCGGTTGGCCCCACTTCCGTCAAGCTGAGAGCCAAATGCGCTGTCCCCTGTCACTGCAAACAGCGGCAGGCTCACAGGGCAGCAGGCATGGAGGCCTGTGTTCTAGGCCCCGAGCTCCCTGGCCTCCCAAGACCCGGGGCTCTGCACCAGTGCTCACCGGAACATGCGCCGCGATCTCCCGCGTGAAGGACCTTAGGTGCCTCTTACTCCTCCAATGCCTGGGAGGTGTTCTTGGCACTTCTTCTTATAAGACCACCCTCTCATCTGGAGGGAAATACCTTAAGATCAGCAGGATTGTTAAGGTGCATTCAGTAGCTCACTCTTGCATAGACAGGCAGAGGCGCGGAGGGGGAGAGCACAAGGCTAAAACCACTGAGGAGGCAAAGAGCATGACTTGACTCACTGACACTGTGAGCATGTGTTCACACGTGGGTGCGTACTGTGTGTCTCTAGGACTTGTTTGTTGACATCCAACCTGTCTGCTGCTTCTCTGTAAGATAGATTGGGTTGCCTGATTATCAGCTGCAGCAGATCAAGGAGTATTTGAGTAAATTTCATGCAAATTTGAAGCATTTCTCCGCATGCTCTGGATCTGTGAATTCCCAGGACCGTAAGTGAAGCAGAGACAGTGAGGTGGTAAGGCACTGACCTGAGTGAACAGAGGGCAGAGCTGGAGAAAATACATGGGCTGGGAAAAGTTGCACTTAAGGCAAACTGGGTATGTGCAAAGGAGCACCTCTCCTTGCACTGACCACATGCAGTGCTCTCTCTTGCATGGGCTATCTCCCATAAGATAGGGGCCTGACTCCAAGAGGAAGAATGCCTTCCCTTCTTCCCTGTCCCTTAGGGTCATCTATAAAATGGCAATGTGCATTTCCTTTCTGATGGGAGGGGCTCCAAGTCTCTGAGCACTTCTGACCTCAACGTGGGGAGACACCTATAAAAGTCTGCTTTATTTTATGTCTCCTTATTTTTATTACACAATCAGTTTTCCTTAATCTGCCTTTATCTCTCTATATTACAGACCTAAGAAAAGCTCACATCTTTCCCTCTCTCCCTTCCTGTCAATCATTCTTCAATCCATTGCATGTCCTACTTTCTGCAGGCCCCAGCTGTCTGACTGTCAAAGGCCCCAGCCAAGCTAGTGATACACAAGCATAGGGCCATAGGTTGCAGAGCACAGAGGGAAAGGGCCCGCTCAGGAGGCAGCATCTTGGAAGAAGCTAAATCATACGCTGAACACGCTGCCCGTATAGAGGGGCTAAGTAGAGAGAGAGAGATTGCAGGGATTGCTGACAAGACAGAAACCACAGAAACCAGACATGAGAGAGACATTTCAAAGCAGAGTCCTCGGAATAAAACCTAAGAAACTCCCCACGTCAAGAAAATATGTCTAACAGTTGTGTATCATGAATGTGCTAGTGAGAGACGATCACCTCTGCTGCACGCCTAGGAGATCACCCATCCAGGGAATAAAAGCTCCTGCCCGGGGGAAAGGCAACATGCCTGTTATGGACTGAATGTTTATATTCTCCTCAAATTCATACTTTGAAGCCCTAATGCTTAATGTGATCGTGTCTGGAGATGGGGTGTTTGGGAGGCAATTAAGGTTAAATGAGGTTGTGAGGGTGGGGCCATCACCGGGTAGGGCTGTACCCTTATAAGAAGATGAAGTGCCAAGAGGAAGAATGCCTTCCCTTCTTCCTTGTCTCTTATGGTCATCTATAAAATGGCAATGTGCATTGCCTTCCTGATGGGGGGATCCAAGTCTCTGAGCACTTCTGTGTCAAGAACAAAATGCGGCTAAAGGACAATCTCTTCAATAAATGGTGCTGAGAAAAACGGAATATTCACATGAAAAAGAATAAAATTTGACTTGGATCTTGCACCATGCATGAAAATCAACTCAAAATGAATTAAAGACTTCTATGTGAAACTATAAAAATCATTGAAGAAACCATAGGGAAAGCTCTTTGACAATGACCTTAAGCAATTATTTTTCTGACATCACATGAAAAGAACAGGCAACAAGAGCAAAAGGAAACAAATATGGCTAGATCAGACAACAACAACAGAAAACCTTATGAACCTCAAAGGAAACTGTCCACAAAAATGAAAATGCAGCCTGTGGACCGGGAGAAAATATTTGTGAACCCTGCCTCCAACAAGGGTGAATATCCAAAATATATCAGGAACTCATACATCTCAACACCAAAAACAACAACAACAACAACAAAAGCCAATTAGAAAATGGACAGCATGGCTGGGTACGGTGGCCAACGTCTGTAATCCCAGCACGCTGGGAGGCCAAGGCCAGAGAATCGCTTGAGCCTAGGAGTTTGAGAATGGCCTGAGCAACATGGTGAAACCCTGTCACTACAAAAAATAAAAAGCTCAGGGTGAAGCTACAGAAAAATTGGATCTCCTTTTAACTTACGCATGCCCTCCTGGAAATTTGTCCCTCTTCCTGAGCCCTGGAAGTCTCTCCCCTTATTTCCAGGACCTGTGACCCAACAGAGCTGCAGAACCAGGAATTCAGAGGGCTTCATTCACAGTGCCCTGGCCATTTTTAGGGGCCTCTCACTGAGTACAGTGAGCAGATGGTCAACATTCCTGCCTGTTTCTCAGGGAGGTGATATTTCAGTGCTACCCACAGGTGACCGAGGTGTGGCCCAGGCTGCGTGTGTGTGCCTGGCTGCTGACCCGTGTTAGTGAGAATCATGGGCTTCCTGTCACAAGGACTTTGCTGCTGTCAATCTCTCTAACACCCAAGGTCATCATTGGAAAGGAAGAAATCACGCATCAAGAAAGAGCACATAAACAGTTTGAGAAGACCATCTGTGCCATCCTGGCTGCCTAGGAGGCTTAATGCAGTGTTTATTGGAACAAAAGTCTGCTGGGCATAACCTTTCCTCAACAGACAAGGGGCAGGGGAGAGGGAAGGCAAAGTTTAGGAATAACTCCATTATCTCAGCTCTAATAGAGGAATATGTACAGGAGGAAAGGTCAACTGGTTGAAAGAAGCACCTTTCAATATTAGTTTTCTTCTTTGCTCTTTTCCTAATATTTGACTTTTATTGTTGACTTAAAACCTTTTTTTCACAAGAACTTTGCAGCATACATTTCTAAATCACAGCTAGTTAATAAAATGTCTACCTTATCAAGCACTGAAAATGTCATTTCAAAAATCTACCTAAGTGATATGCATAGTATATGCACATACTTATTTGTCATATTCAGTGAATGATGATGGATCAGGCACTTTAGATGCATTATGTTTTTTAAGCCTTCAAATAACCACATGAATTGGTGCTTTTCTTATCTCCATTTTACAGATGCGAGAACATAGGGACACAGGAATAGAATGACTTGTCCAAGGCAGTTGGTGGGCACTTAGATAAGGAAGACTGTACTCAGTACCTCACCTGCCCTGGCTATGAAGAGGTATGTTCCTTACCTCATTCCTGCTGCTGCCTCCTTTTGTGTGACTTACAGGACTGGGGTCCCTGAACTGCTGATTAGAGGTGAAGATCTATGCCTTCTCTTTCCCTGTTTTGACTTACAGGACTGGGGTCCCTGAACTGCTGATTAGAGGTGAAGATCTATGCCTTCTCTTTCCCTGTTTTCTACTTTCCTTTATCCCTCTTTCCTCTTCTTTCTAATTGCAACAGAAACACTTACTTATAAGTATCTATTAGTCAGTCACTCCTCAAATGTCAGAAATTATTAACAGCTGAACACAATTGACCCCAATCATCACTGGGTTCCCAGTTCCATGAGACAAATAGACAGGGTAGCAGATAATGACCACCGAGTTTGATGAACACTCTAGGAAAAGAATCCATGAGAACTATGGAAAGCTATGGAGGCACAGGGGTAGAACCCAATGGGAGGCAGCAGGGAGTAGTTTAAGAGATGATCTTTAAGCAGAATCAGGAAGAGTCCAGGTTTTTCAGGAATTATGGACTAAATTGTGTCCCTCCAAAATTTATATGTTGAAGCCCTTACCAGTGTGATGATTTGGAGATGAGACCTTCTGGTGGTAATTCGAGTTAGATAAAGCCATGAGGGTAGGCTTTATGATATTAGTGGCTTTATAAGAAGAGAAACAGTAAGAGATCCTCTCTGTCCACTATTTAGGACACAGTCAGTAAGTGGCTGTCTGCAAGTCAGGAAGAGAGCCCTCACCAGAAGCTGAATTGGCCAGCACCTTGATTTTGGACTTCCCAGGCTCCAGGTGAGAAACACGCCACCATGCTGGGCTAATTAAAGAAAAAAAATTTTCGGAGGTAAGATATTGCTATGCCAACTCATGTTATAAGTAGAATTTTTGATGCTGCAAAAGAAGTATCACTCGAATATAAATTTCCTCAGCAAGGCAATTTACTTCTACAGATGGGTGTGGCTCACAGATGGAACAATGGCGAGTGCACACCTGGACAAGGAGGGGAAGAAGTACTTATACCTGATGGAGGTCACCCCTACTCCTGTATTTTTCCTCTGTTGGCTAGGGTTAGACCGCACAAGCTAGACTAATCCTGACTGGCTATTTTAAAGAGAGCAGAGGTCTGAGCTGGAGTGGCAGGGTGGGTGGTTTGGCGGGAAGGATGGTTATGGGTGGGTCAGAGCAGGTAGCCAGGGGTGAACTAAGTCAAAGAAGGTGACTAGATAGAGCAGGTGACCAGGATGAGTCAGGATGGAGCTGGGGGCCAGGGGAACAAATGTGAACTACTGATTAGAACTGGTGGTGAAGGTTGTTTACTGGAACTACCAGGAAGTTAAACTTTAAAATAGAGAATTAAAGAATAAGAGAGCTGAACATACTGACATACTGATTCTTTGAAGAGAAACTTGGGGTTCACTATATCTAACACCCAGGTTGGTCCCAAACTCATAGCCTCAAGTGGTCCTCTTGCCTTGGCCAAGGACCAAGTGCTAGAATTCTAAAGTGCTAGAATTACAGGTGTGAGTCATTGTGCTCAGCCAGTTTCCATCTGAAAATTCTCCCTTTGGCTCCTTTGGAGAATGGACAGAAGCAGGCACAAGTGATGCCCAATCAGAACCTGGGCTCCCAAACCTGGCTGCAGACTGAAACCCCTTGGGGAGTGTAAGATAATACTGATGTCTCCGTTTCCCCTGTTCTCAGAGATTCTGATTTAAGTGGTCTGGGTGTGGCCTGGCATTTGTAAAAGCTTCTCAAGTGATTCTAATGGACAGCAGTTTGTGTATCATTGAATCTAGGTTAAAGATGTGATCCAGTAGCAATCTGATGGTGCTGTGCAATAATGCTGTGACCATGAGATGCTAAGTCATGAACTGATATGTGAGATGCATTTTAAAGGTAGAAATAGCAGCGTTAGAGGCACTTTGGTCATGAGTGTCAGAGAAGCAGAAGGTACTAAAGATTACTCACAAGTGAGGGTTGAGCTACTGATACACAGTGGGAGGCATCAATATTTGGGTTGATATTTAAAGCCTGAGGAATAGAAGCAGTCACATGGAAGAGAAAATTTAGAGGTAAGAAGGTGGCAAGGATGGAGCCCTGAGGGCTGGTAGTGGAGGATTTGCCTGCATAGGAGACTGAGAAAGAGAGGCCAGGAGGCAGAGGGCATCACAGAGGGAGGGCGGTGTGCAATCCTCAGTGATGGAAGCAAGCCTGGCAAAGAAGTGTGAAGAGCAGAGTCAGAGGTGGGGAGAAAGGGTTCAGAGGCTGATGAAGGTTGTTGGCCTCTTTAGGTGTGAGGAGGACCAGAAGCCAGAACAGAGTATGATCAAGGATGCATGGAGGTTGGAAAAAGTGGAGGCAATGTGTGTAGAAAATTATTTCAATAAGTCAGGCTATTAAGAGGAATAAGGAGATGAAGTGGTGGCTGAGGGAGGATGGGGAATTGAGGGAGGGTCTTATAGGTTGTGGGGTACCAAAGTGGGGCTGTGTACTGATGAAAATGCACCAGCAGCTGAGAGAGAAAGAGACAGACAGAGAGAATAATTGTCATCATCAGCGTGATCATCACCAGGGATGGAAAGTCCCTGTAACCGTGAAACAGCAAAAAATTTAACATAACTCACTCCATTTTTGTTTAAGCGGCATTTACCCATCCCTGCACGTAGGCTAGGGTAATTTTTATTTATTTATTTTTTTGAGGCGGAGTTTCGCTCTTGTTACCCAGGCTGGAGTGCAATGGCGCGATCTCGGCTCACCGCAACCTCCGCCTCCTGGGTTCAGGCAATTCTCCTGCCTCAGCCTCCTGGGTAGCTGGGATTACAGGCACGTGCCACCGTGCCCAGCTAATTTTATTGTATTTTTTTTTAGTAGAGACGGGGTTTCACCATGTTGACCAGGATGGTCTCGATCTCTTGACCTCGTGATCCACCCGCCTCGGCCTCCCAAAGTGCTGGGATTAGAGGCGTGAGCCACCGCGCCCGGCCCAGGCTAGGGTAATTTTAGAGCACTGAGATAATATGCAAAACAGCAATCATGTAGTTTTAAAAACGAATTCTAGGATTAAAGGAGAAGTATACAAACAACTACGTGTTGTTAAAGATTTATTGGAGCATTGTGACCTGACCAAAGACAAAGAAGTTCCCAACTTCTTCAGACCCTTGTTGCGGTCATTGGTTACCTCTTGATCCCAATCCCCTCCTGTTCCTCCTGCCCTTAACGTTAAAAAAGCCCAGGATTTGTGCTGACTTGAGACAGTATTTTAGGACATTAGCCCACCATCTTCTCAGTTTGCTGGTTCTCCAGCAAATCTGCTTTTCCTCCCAATTCTTCTCTCTCGACTTTGGTTTTCCACCTAGGTTTGGATACATCCTTATGAAGACCAGGTCCTGAGCCATGGGAAAGACTGGCCATTGCTAGGAGAAGCTATGTCCCCTCCATTTTGTCAGGAAGAAGAAATAAGAAAGGGACAGGGCGGGGGAGCTTTGTAAATTAGTTACAAAACTGCCTTTGGAAAATTATGACTGAGACACTGAAAGAGACCTGACTGACTCCATCTTGGTTCTAAACTTGAAGCGGTCCTTATTCCTTCTGAGAGGACATAAGCTGAACTAACTTTGGGAAGAACTTAGTTTATAGTTAGAAATAAAGATGATAACAGTCCTTTCCCAAAACAAAACTCCTCTTGGCTGGGGACTAGACTGCCTTTGTAGGCCTAAAAAATTAGCCACAAGGTCATAAATTATGGTTTAGGAGTCATGTAGCTGGAGGCTACAAGATTCTGACCCTCCCTAAACAGCTCCTAAGACTAGTGCTTGAGATACTTTGCAGACCCTGCACTTGATGGATCAACTGGCACCACCCAGGTAGATAAACTGGCTCTTCTGATCTTGCAGCCCCCACCCAGGAACTGACTTGGCACAAGAGGACAACTTCAACTTCCCATGATTTCCTGGCTTTACTGGCTTTCCCCACTCACTAGTTGTCTTTAAACACTCTGATCCCTGAATTCTCTGAGAGACTGATTTGAGTAACAATAAAACCCTGGTCTCATGCAAAGCTGGTTCTGTGTGAATTACTCTTTCTCTATTGCAATTCCCCTGTCTTGAGAAATAGGCTCTGTCTAGGCAGCAGGCAAGGTGAACACATTGGGCAGTTATAGTCATGGGAAAATGAGAGGACTAAACTAATAGATTTCGTTTTCTCAGTTAAGTATAATTAAGCAGTCAGGAGCCTCAAGTAAAGGGCCAGGGGTTGGGAATAAGGAGGAGAGGTGAGAAGTTTGAGGAGTTGAGAGAGGGTGTGGGGTTGTTATTGGAGAAAGAAGGAGAGCAAAATTATTAGAGAGTGTTGTGAGTTAGGTGCAGCATTGTGTGTCCATTGGAGGGTGACAGTGATGCATTTATAGCAACTACTAAGGTGTGTCTTTTGTCCCCATTGCCAAGGCATAGAGGCATAGGCACAGCAAAGAGAAAGGAGATGGTGGGCTTCATCCTGGCCTGGGGATTTGCAGGTCTTTGGTGATTTCACAAGAGCAGACTTAATAAAGGTGGAGGGAAGAGGCTGAATTGTGGGTTGAGATCTCAACAGGAGGTGTGGGGACCTGGAGGTGGGCTGCTCCATCTCCCTTGGGAAGAACCTGGCTGACAGCCTCCACATACCACACCTTTGATTCCTTCCTGAACCCTTAACAAGAGCCTGCTCTCCCAGGCTACTCCCAGCAAATGACTGTGGGTACTGATGTAACAGTGGATTTACTATGGAGTTTTAAAATAATATTTGTATTAATTTCCCATGGCTAGGTAAAAAATAATGACTACAAACATAGTAACTTAAAACAACACACACTTATCTCACAGTGTCCATGGGTCAGGAGTCTAGGCATGCTTAACTGGCAGTCTCACAAAGCTGCAATCAAGGGAATGGCTGGGGCTGGGGTCTCATCTGAGGCTCAGGGTCCTCTTCCAGGTACAGGCAGTTGTTGGCAGAATTCAGTTCCTTGCAGAGGTAGAGCTCACGGCAGCTTGCTTCTTCAAGGCCAGCAGGAGAAGAGTCCCTTATCTTTGGACCAGCTTTGAAAGGCCCACCAGGATAAACTCCCTTTCAGTTAAAGCCAACTGATTAGAGACTTTATGACAAAATCTCTTCAACCTTGCCAGATAACATAGCCTGATCACTGGAGTGACACCTGTCATGTTCCAGATCACCCAGACTTGAGGGAATGACACAGGCATGCTCACCAGGAGAACAGCAGGCTCGGCCGTGGTAGAGTCCTGCCTCCCACCACATTCATACATGGAGAAGTGAAAAAAAAAGCACTTCTTTTTCTTTTCTGATTGCCAAAGGAACATGAATTCATAGGGTAAAATCTAGAATCTGTAGAGATGTACAAAGAAAGAAATTAAACTCCGCTCATCACACTCCTCCCCCTAAATATAAACACCATTATAATTCTGATTTATTACTTTTAATATAATGGGATCATCATTTAGAAGGTTTTTTTTTAAAAAAAATTGCCATTAGATTAAATGTTTTTTTGAAAAGAATAAGAATATGGGTCCCAGCACTCCATTATGTGACTATAGAGTGGTTTGATTTATTAACTTTTTCCTTTACACTTTCGTTGCTTCCATTTTTAGCTACTGCAGATAATGTTGATGAATTTGCTCCAGCACATTTAAGTGCTTGTTCAGAGCTCACTATTCACTCAAAGCTTTGGGGCAGAAATACTTAAAGTGATAGGGTCAGATGGCAATAAAAAACAATCAATCAGAAATGAAAAGCATCCCCCACCTGAACAAGTTATGTGAAAAATCAAATTAGTTTGTATTTGAACACATTTTTCTTGCAAGTATTTATTGAGAAAAGTGAGATGACCCTAGAGGGCTCCGGCTTAGGGCTTCTTGAGAATGGAGATGGTGTTTGTCTCAGATTACCAATGTTATAGTGAACCCCAAGTTTCTCTTCAAAGAATCAGTATATCAGTATGCTCAGCTCTCTTATTATTTATCTATTTTGAAGTTTAACTTCCTTATAATTCCAGGAAACAACCTTCTCCACCAGTTCTAATCAGTGGTTCACATCTCTTCCCCCTGGCCCCCAGCTCCATCCTGACTCATCCCAGTCACCTGCTCTGGTCATCTTCTTTGACCTAGGTCGCCCCTCGATACCTGCTCTGACCCACCCATAACCGTCCTTCCCACCAAAACACCCATCCTGTCACTTCAGCTCTGACTCCTCTCTCTTTAAAATAGCCAATCAGGATTAGCCTAGTTTGTATGGCTTAACCCTAGCCAATAGGGAAATGAAAGAGCAACAGGGACGACCCTCATCAGACATAAGTACTCTTTTCCCTCCTTGTCCAAGCATGTGGCCACCATTGCTCCATCCATATGCCGCACCCTTCTATAGAAGTAAACTGCCTTGCTGAGAGGATTTATCTTCAAGTGTTATTTCTTTTGCAGCATAGAAATTTTACTTATAGCACCCAGACTCACAAAATCACTGCCTGGTGCAAGGATTAGGTTATGCCATCAATATGGTTTCACAGCAGCTCCTGGAACAAATGTTTAAAATGAGAGGAAAGGGATGAGAAAAAAGTGAAGTTGCACCAGGAATGGGCAAGAAGGCAGAGTTGAAGGATGGGAGCAAGAGGTTCATGATGGAAGAGAAAAGAAAAAAATCCCTTTGCTGGGAGATTTGGTGGCTGAGCAGACTGTCCTGGGCTGGCATAAAAGCTGCCTATAGTACTGAGCTCAGTAAAGGGATTTAAAACCCATTGATCTTGGTGGGCTTGGGTTTAGCCTTGGTGGTTGGCTTACTTCTTCTTTTCTCCATGGTAAACTTTTGTCCCTTTTTGCACAGTGGGGACTCCAGGCCATACCAAGGCCTGTCATTCTGTGCTGGGTTTGGTGCACCATGACTTGGCCTTGGCATGGGGTCCCTGGCAGTGCTGGCTGGGCCTTGTGTCCAAGCTCACTGTTTAACTTCACTGTAGAATGGGAGCTCTGGGAAGGCAGTGTACTGTTTGTACTTTTGAAATGTTCTAGGAGTGGATGTATGTGTGTTACAGTATAGAACATGGACATGCAAGACCTGGGCAAGAGCCGGAATGCAGGGCTAGGTATAACCGAGTTGCACCAAAGGGGGTTCCTGCAGCTGAGTCACTGGGAAATGCTAGGGGAGCTGAACCTTGGCACACTGATACCTGACATTCTGGGCACCACATCCCTGTTCCCTTCCAGGTTTAAAGGGATCCATTTCTCCCCAAGCCTTTTGCTGTGCTGTCTCTCTTAGGAACAAATTGCTACTCCCCCTTAAGTGGGCATACCTGTCTGGTTTCCCCTGCTCTCTCTGTCTCTCTGTCTCTCCCCTCTTCTAAAAAGCTCTCTCTAGAGTAATTGTGAGCTAGGCAGAGCCAGTTCACAAGCTAATTAGTGCCCAGGGCATCCAGCAAAGGAAGTATTGCTTTTTCTTTCCCTTTTGTAGTGATGGCGAGAACCCTAAGCTGGGTGAGGCAAGTGTGAATGTGAGTTTTGGGAAGAGTGACCACTGGTGATCTGTCCTCTACAAATCTCCAGGAAGTAGCTTTGCTCTCAGGGCTTCAACAATCCTGTGCTTCTCATGTTTACAACCCTCACAGGACTGAGCATAGGCAAAACCAGTGGTTCTTCATCAGGGATGTTTGGCAACATCTGGAGACATTTTTGACAATCAGTCCTGATGTGAGGTGGGGAATGTGTGCTCCTGGCATCTCATGGGCACAGGCCAGGGTACCTGCTGGGAACCCTACAATGTAGTGTTACAGGAGTTGTTAAGAAATTATTTTAGGCAGGTAGAGAGGAAGAGGGGTCCTTGGAAAGTTGTTTCTTTTAATGCAGCTCCAAAAATGTTTCTTCTCTAGCAGGAAAGCCCTGGCTCTGAGAGCCAGGCTGGCAACCTTTGATGTGTCAAATGCCAGCCATTAGAAACTGGGTCCAGCCAAACATGTCCATTCCCACTGTCTTCTTCTTGTCCTTGCCCCGACATGTGCCTGGCAACATGGCTGCCCCCACATATCCCCACGTGTGTAGAACATCATGGTGCCCTGCATTTACATATTAAAAGGCTAGGGTGGGAGGGCCAGTTTTTTCATGGGCTGTGTGAATGACATGCCTGGTCAAACCAATCCCCTGAGCCTTATGCAAATCAGACACCACCTCCTCCAGCGTCCTCATATAAGCAGCTGCTTTTCTGTGGCACACGAGGTCTCCTCTCTCAGTTTTGGAGCCCCCCATCCTCTGTCTCTGTACAAGGGAACTTCTTTCTTCTCCCTTCTTTCTTGTCTGTTAAAGTCTCTGCTCCTTAAAGCCACTCCACGTGTGTCCGTGTCATTTTATCCAATTCCCACGAGACAAGAGTCCTGGTGTTTCTTCACTCATTGGGGCCGTATCAACAGGACAGCCCCTCCCTCAACCAATAATTATTCTGCCCAAAATGTCAGTAGTGCCAAGGCTGAAAAATCCTGATATAGACCAAAGTATTTATTACTACTGTGACCGGGAAGCCTGGGTTCTGGCCTTATAGGAGAGATACCAAAGTGTGCGTGGACACCCTCTGCCTGAACTCTATTTAGGGCAAGAACCATGCCCTACTTTTCCACATTTTCCTAGAGCAAGATCAGTCAAATTCAGATGTCCCCAATCCGAGAGAAAAGAAACAAACAAATGTCCACATCTATTTGGTCAGGGTTTTAAGCCTCATGGAAACACATATTCATTTTCATAACAATGAGGCGTGGGAAGCAAAGGCCTGGCATAGCCTCACCAAGAGAAGAGTGCTAAACTGTCAGACCAAATCTCCTCCCCATCCTTCAGATGCCTGCGCCTTGCTGGTGTCCAGCAACACCTTCTCAACTCACGTCTCAACTGGTGAGTTGGTCAAATAGTAACTGCGCAGGAGGCCTATCCTTTCCTGGCTAGAGTTGGAACCTATTTAATTCCTTGTATCCTCAGTTTTCTCATCTATAACAAGAGGACGGTGGCATCTGCCCTGGATAATTCAAAGGGTTGTTCGTTCTTATTTCGAGGGGGCATATTTTAACATCCAACTTTACATGACCAAGTAACAAAGTTTGCAATGTACTTTTGAAAGCATAAACTCTGGAAGAGAGGTGCGGAGAAACAGTATCCTTGGGGTACTAAAGATGCACTCAGGCCTGGGTATTCAAATTGTGATCTGCGAATAGACCAGCTGCATGGCTACCCTTGAGAGCAGGTCAGAAATGCAGAACCTTGGCCCCACCTCAAGCCCACTGAGCCAAAATCTGCCTTCTAACACAATCCCACCGGATTCCTGTGCAGGTTTGAAATCTGAGAAGATAGCTACATCTTCTGAGCTTATTTACACTTTGTAATTTAGAGAGATGGCCTCCCTTTGGGTGGTGTGTGCTAAATTGGTTTTATGGATGATGCTTTGGGTACCATTTTTTTCTTCATTACAGACAGTGCCTCACAGATCAGTTGTGAGGGAGAGTGTCTTGAATTGCCAAGTCATAAACTTAGTATCGGAGCCCATCTTCCCTTACAGCAGGAACCTACAACAAATATATTCTAGTGTTTCCAAACACTGTAACACTTTAATGTGAAATCTGGGGTTTAAAGAGCCCTAGGTCAGAAGATGGGCTTTATGAATCCCCTGAAACTGTCATGTAGAATTGTGTGTGTTTTCCATTACCAGAGGAAAGAATCTATTGCTATCATTACATTCCTAAAGGGGTCTTTATTCCAACTATTGAGAACCATTGACATGAGTTCATTCGCTTATCAAATGTTTATTGAGTGTCTCTTACATGCCAGCACTGTGTTACTATAGATGAAGGGGAGAGTTATAAGGTGGCAAATCACTGAGGGCGTATCATTGATTACAACTTAGACTAGGAAAGAATCTGAAGATGGAAATACAAAATTAATCCAGACACACTGAAGAAAACAATTAGAAAATGTAAAAAGCCTAATTTCTTTCTTTCATATTGCTGGACACTTTTATTTACACATACACAAAATTGAAACAATACTATAGAAATGAAAACAAAGGCTGGGCGTGGTGGCTCATGCCTGTAATCCCAGCACTTTGGGAGGCTGAGGCAGGTGGATCACGTGAAGGTCAGGAGTTCAAGACCAGCCTGGCCAACATGGTGAAACCCTGTCTCTACTTAATATATAAAAAATTAGGCACGGTGGTGGGTGCCTGGAATCCCAGATTCTCAGGAGGCTGAGGTAGGAGAATTGCTTGAATCCAGGAGGCGGAGGTGGCAGTGAGCTGAGATCGCACCATTGCACACCAGCTTGGGCAAGAGTAAAACTTTGTGTCAAAAAAAGAAAAAGAAAGAAAAAAAAGGAGATGGAAACAAAGAACAAAGCAAAGGAAAAGTTATGTAGATGTTTAGATGAGATGAATAAAATTCTCTCAGCTGCTGATTATGAAAATATAACCTAATTTATTTCCTCAAAAGTTTTTTTTAATTTAATTATTAGGTGAGTTGACCCTGTGTGTATCATGTAACTTGTAATTTGTGTTTTGGGAGTGATATTGAATTGAAAGCTTGGCTTTCATCAAGGTAAAAATAAAGTCATCTCTCCAACTCCAATGAATTACGAGGAAGGCTTCCATCCTAACCTTCTTCGCCTTCAATGCTTTCACTTGTCTTCATGTTACATGTGCGCACTTTGCTTCCTAACCCAGCCCTGACCCTGAGAGGCAGCATGACGGGAGTGGAGGGGTGGGGTTTGGGAAGTCACTTCCAGCCATTGTGGACCTTTATGGAAACCTGGGCTCCACTTCACAGGATGAATCTGAACTGTAACCCTTGCTCATTGGACTCATGGCTCCAATCTAAATGGCAGGCTTTCCACTAGTCTTTGGGACTTGTGGTTTATGTCTCTTTCTCATGCACATCATCTTATTCACAGTTCCTCAAGAATAACAACTTTCTATCTAAATTCTTGTTCCTCTAAGTTTACCTGTATTTCCTTTTCCCTTTAAACAAAGGTAGTCATATAAGCCCATCGTTTGCCATCACTCAGGAAACTGAGTTCACATTGCTTGCCTTGTGGGTGCTTAGAGTCTGTCTGTCATAGCATTTAGAAATGTAACTGAACCCAGGTTCAACTGCTCACTCCTTGAGGGCCAAACTGGAGATGCAAGAATTGGTGGCAGGAAAAGCAGGCTTATGAGGAACTGGCAACCTGAAGAGATGGTGGGCTGGTGTCACAAAGACCATCTCAAGTTTTTCAGGCTGGCCGGAGGGTTTTTATGGGAGGGGGGCCAGGGGGAATTATGCACAAGGAGTCACTACGTGCTGGTCAGTCTGTCTGGTCTCAATGACTCTCTCGAATAACGGGCTGCCTGGTGGTCTGGCTGGCGTTAGCTTGATTGTGGCAGGAACACAGATGAACTGCTCAGCCTTCTTTCCAGGGTGGGATGTTCTGCAGCCTTGATTCCATGCTTAGTGTTTCAGGTCAGCTCCTGCAGTTCTTTAAGCAAAGCACATGAGTTAAGCATCATTAAAAGCCTAGCACAGAAAGAAAGGGGATAAAAGGAAAAAAAAAAGAAAAAGAATTGTTTTTCCAGATGAGGTGGTAGTTTCTGTTACACAAGGAGCCCAAAGATTTATAAAAAGAATCCAAATGTCTCATTTTGTAGGCGAGGAAACTGGTTCTGAGAAGTCAAGCTTGAAAACAACAGAACCAAAACTAGAACCGTTTTTCCCAACTTCTCTTCAGGAACTCTCTTCACGTCACTAAATTTCTGGAAACATCAACATCTGCTTTCCTTGAGTCCTTTCTGGACACAGTTTGGTGGCTCCTAACAGGGCCAGGCACACAGCCAGAGTTCACTTCCTTCTTGTGTGAACAATCAGACTCAGCCTCTCTCCCAACAACCTCCGAAGAAAGGAAGCCAACGTGCCCACAGGCCATTTCCTTAGCTGACTGAAGACTGACGGTGGATTCCAGCGCAGCAAAGACTTATTCAATGCTGACATAAGAGAAAGAGGAAAGTAGACGTCATGACTCATTCTGCCCAAGAGACTCCATTTCCTCCCCTGTGACCAGGATTCTGCTTCTTTTCCAGATAGCACCTTGCTCAATGATTTCCCCAGTGCCAGGAAAATTGTGCACTGCTCAAGTTTTCCCTCCTTAGCTAAATGGTCACATCATAAAAATCTATTTGGTCACTAAGGCCCACATAGCAGGTTATTTCCAGCTATTCACTGTTCCTTTCTTCTACAGAAGTAGAATCTTTAACCTGGGCACTGGCTGAAGAACAGAGAGAGATTCTGTTCTCCAGCTTTCTGCGCATTGAGTGTGGCCATGTGATTGTTTCTGGCCAGTAGTCCCTGAGGGGCCGTGTGGTGTGCTGTTCACCTCCATGGAAAGGCGTGTGTGTTCCCTGTCCTGTTCTTCCTTCCTGCAGGGTGGAATGCCAGTGTGACAGGTGCTATCATGGAAATGGGGATGCCACAGAACAGCAAGGTCAAGGCTGACAGGCAAGAAGACTATCTCAATCAGTTTGGGTTGTCATAACAAAATTCCACAGATGGGATGGCTTCAACACCAGTTCATTTCTCAACAGGAGCTTGTTTCTGGAGGTGGGAAGTCTTTAAGATCAAGGTGCCAGCCAATTCAGTTCCTGGTGAGGGCTTTCCTGCTGGCTTGCAGATGGTTGAGTTTTTGCTGTGTGCTCAAGTGGCAGAGATCGCTGGTGTCTCTTCTTCTGGTAAGGACACATGCCCTATTGCATAAAGGCCCCACCGTATGACCTCATTCAACCCTAACCTTTAACCTCCCAAAGACCACATCTCCAAATATCATCACATGGCGGGGGGTTAGGGCTTCAACATACAAATTTTGCAGGTTAGGTGGGGGGAGACACAAAAGTCAGTTAAAACAAACATCATAAGCAAGGTCCCCATGCCTGTTTGGACTTTTGCATGATTGAGAAGTAAATTTCTAACTTGTTACAGTACATCTGGGAACTTTTTTACACCCAGAGAAACTTACCATTAAACCTGTATAGTAACTTAGACTTTGTTCTTCTGGACATCACACTAATGTTTACTTTTGCCAATTTTTTTTTGGTGCCTACTATGAATACCCACTGAAAGAAAGCATATAGAGGTTCTAACCAGACACAGGTATCTAGGCAACAGGTGTGAGAATTCTCATATGGCCCTCCCCACATGTGGTGGGATGCATTCTCACCAGAAGGTGGCTGTGGTTGGGCTGTGAATGGCTCACCAAATGGCTGACTGCAGAGTGACTCTGGGTGGGGCTCTGTGAGCCCTCCAGCCCGTGGACCACTGTCATTTTGTCTGGAAGCCTTTCTTTTGTCTTTCTTTCTTCTTTTTTTAATATCAATGAGGGAAAGAGGAAGACATGGCATGTGGTGAGAAAAGGAGGATATATTTGTTTGCTAGGGCCGCCATAACAAAGTGCCACAGACTGAGTGAACCTAACATAAATTTACTATCTCATAGTCTGGAGGCTGGAAGTCCAAAATCAAGGTGTTGGCAGAGCCACGCTTCCTCTGAAGGCACAGAAGGATCTGTTGTAGGACTCTCTTCCGGCTCCTGGGAACTCCTGCGGCAGTGTAACGTCAACCTTTATTCTCACATGGCATTCTCCCTGTGTAGAGAATATGTCCACATTCTGCATGTCTCTGTGCCTAAAGTTCCCTTTTTATAAAAACACTAATCATACTGGATTAGGGTCCATCCTAAGAACCTCGTTTTAATTAATTACATCTGCAATGACTGTATTTCCCAATACAGTCACTTGGGGTTAGGAGTTCCACATAAGAATTTGGCTTGGTGGGAACACAACTGAACCCATAAGAAAAGGTAAGAACTAACAGAATATTTCAGCCCAATGATTCCACCCAACCATCTCAGGAGACCAGAGTAAAGGGATGTCACAGAACAGCCAACAACCAGATGTGATGCATCGTCCTAATAGGGAGTAATGAGACAGTGCCTTGTGGTCTCCACAGTGAAGGCTTGATCTCATCTAATACCTTCTTCATTCCAGCACATTCACGATGACCAGGGCTGCAGAGCTTTCCCTGGAGCTCCAGGACCCAGAAGCCAACTGCTCTAGCTCCTGGTTGGTGCTCTGTCTCCTGCATGCCAGCTGCCCTCCATCCCTTCCTGGGAGCCATAAATCAAAAGAATTACCTGCTCTCTCTGGAGGCCAAACACCAGAGGCAGGTGTTTTGCTTTAGAAAATACAATTTATCCCTTTACAATGACAAAAGTAATAATGTTCATTATAGCAAAGTTGGAAATAATACCAAAGTTAGGAGCTCATAGGAAAATCACTCCTAATTCCAAGACCCAGACAACTCCTGCTGAATTTTGACATATATTATTCCTTTTTGTCTTCTTTTTTTAATGCATAGTTTAAGTCTGCACCACAACCTTTCTGTAACTACACACTTCGATTTTCCACATTATATGATAGATATTTCCTATGTTATTATAAATTATTCTTAAACATTCTTTAATAGCTGTATAAGATTGAGGATGGCTAAATAACAGCAGAGAGAAGCTGATATTTTCTGCATCCCAGACACTATTCTAAGCAATGTGCATACGCTTTTTTCCATGTGACCCTAACAACAGCCCAATGAGGTGGGAATTAGTCTCATCATATAAATGGATAAGAAAATTGAGGCTCAGGGTTTTAGCATGTGTTTAACATCACATGCTTATTAAACAGCCAAAGGAGGATTTAGACACAAGTTGGCCTGATTCCACCTTCCATGCTTCGAAATTAAATCACGACTTAATTTCTCTATTGCTGGACGTGGAGTTTACCTCCTCATTTTTACCATTATGAATACTGCAAGGCACATCTTTGCACAGGACATTTTATTTCCCCCATATTTACTTTTTTGTTGTTGTTTGTTTGTTTGTTTTTGAGATGGAGTCTCGCTCTGTTGCCCAGGCTGGAGTACAGTGGTGTGATCTCAGCTCCCTGCAACCTCTGCCTCCTGGGTTCAAGCGATTCTTCTGCCTCAGCCTCTCAAGTAGCTGGGACTACAGGCGTGCGCCACCACGACTGGCTAATTTTTGTATTTTTAGTAGAGATGGGGTTTTGCCATATTGGCCAGGCTGGTCCTGGACTCCTGACCTTGTGATCCACCCGCCTGGCCTGGCCTTCTCCTGTATTTTCTTACAATAAATTCACAGAACTGGAATTACTAGGCCAAGAATTGCACATTCAAAGAAACCCCACCATTTTTGTTACTGCCAATTTGTTTCCCAGAAAGGTTGTGCCAGTTTACATCCCTTCCAGCACTACAGGAAAAGGCCGACCTCCCCATACTCAGTACAGGACGGTCTACTCTGTGAATTTATCTGTGCTATTTATGATAGCTGGAAATGGGTTTTGTGTTTCTTTTCGTATTTATTTGATTATTAGGAAAGTTACACATTTTTCCTTCCCCGCCGCCTTTTCCCTTTTTAGAGACAAGATCTTGCCCTGTGACCCAGGCTGGAGTGCAGTGGTGCAATCATAGCTCCCTGCAGCCTTGAACTCCTGGGCTCAAGCGATCCTCCCACCTCAGCCTCTTGGGTAGCTGGAACTACAGGTATGTGCCACCACATTAGCCAATTTTTAATTTTTTTTTTTGTAGAGACGGGGTCTTGTTATGTTGCCTAAGCTGGTCTCAAACTCCTGGGCTCAAGTGATCATCTCAATTTGGCCTCCCCAAAATTGGGATTACATGCATGAGCCACTGTGCCTGGCTAAGTTACACATTTTTCTATGTTTTAAGTCATTTGTATTTTCTACTAAAAATTTCGGAGCCATTTATCTGTTACGGTCTTTGTATTTAATTGAACCGTGTGTAATTAAAATTTTTGTAAGTCAAAAAGGTGTGGAATATCAGCTCAGCCAAGTGTTTTTTCAAATGCATTAAGGATATTAACCTTTAGATA